ATTCTCCCTTGCTGGTTTTGAAGAAATAAAAAGCCATCTTGTGAGCTGCCCTCCCGAGAGGGCAGCCACTGGCTGACAGCCAGCAAGGAAATGAAATGCTGCCAACAAACACGTAAGCTTGGAAGCACGTCTTTCCCCTGCCAAGCCTTCAGATGAGAACCCAGCCCGGGTTGATACTAACTGCAGGCTTGCGGAGGACCTGGCTCAGCTGTGCCTGGACTCCTGACCCACAGAAATTACAAGATAATAAATGTGTGCTGTTTTTAAGCTGCTAAGTTTGTTAATATTGTTATACAGAAACAGAAAACACAAAAGTAAATTCATAACTCGTTGAAATTGTCCAACAGCATATCATTTATTTCCCACTTTTAGAACTAAAATTATATAACTAAGAAATTATTTTAAATAGAATGTATTCATAAATGTCACATAACTTGTATTTTAATTACTGACAACTTCTATTAAACCTGTTTGATGTTCAATATCTCTGCAAATAGATCAAGATCCTTTAAAAAGAGACTGTATAAACTCTAAATATTTATACCATCACTTCACTTTTGATACTTTGAGGTGTTCCCAATTTACCCACATATAAGACTGTCAGAATAATTTAAATATAAAACATCTCAAAGCCTATTCTAGTACTAAAAAACTAAAGATGTTTCAAGAAAAGTTATCTTTTTTTTTTATTTTTTATTTTTTTTCCTTTTTGTCTTTTCTCGTGACCGGCAACGGATCGCAACCCTCAGTGTCGCGCCTGTACTGGACCGGGACCGGCAATGGGATCGCAACCCTCAGTGTTGCACCTGCACCTCGCTCAGCCAGTGAGCAGCCGGTCTGTATGTGGGATCCGAACCCTCGGCGGGAGCGCCGCCGCGCTCCCAAGCGGCGCACTGCAGCAGTGCGCCACCGGGCCGGCCCGTCTTTTATTTTTTTTTAAATCTTTTTAATTGAGAACTATCTTCTATTTTTAAAGTAAATGTAGAAGTTCCTTAGTTCTTCAACTTATTCCTCATAGAATGTCCTTTCATGTATTCATATTTATTTATTTTGGTATGTATATTCAGAAAGTCTAAAGTAGACTTACTCTGAGTTTTTCTGGCAATGCGCATTAACTGTAGTTTCCATAATTGCATTGCTTCTGAAACTGTAAATACACTACTCTGTAAGCCCACACTTAGGCATAGCTACACACGCACACATACGATTGCCTTGGTAAATGAACAATCCATTTCATGAGAAAATGGTTAAAAGGCCGTCAATCTATAGTGAAAAGTTGTTAGTGCAAATAACCTTAATGCTTTAATCTTCTCTTACTTCTGTGATAAAAAATAATCTTTCAGTGATGAGCAATACAGTAATACCCTAGGCTCCTAACCATTGACCTTAAATCTCCACATTTAGTTTATATTTTGGAACTAATCTTCCCTTTCTTAAGTTAGTTTTCATTCACTGTACAAATCACAATGACGTGGAAATGGAGAAAAGTTAAGAACCTATCAGATGAGACTCCTAATCTGCTAACCTAATCTATTTGTACTGGTAAATATTAAAATATTTGAAAATATACAGTGTTATCAACAGTGAGATGAGGGTAAACGGTTATTTTTATAACTTTTGGTTGAAGTGCACCAAGTATATTACTCTTGAGAAAGCAATCTATTAATATCTAACATAATTTAACATGCCTCAATCAAGCAAGTCTATATTTTGGAATTTATCTTACAGATATTCATATATGTATGAAAAGATTATTTACAAGATTATGCACAATAGCAGTGTTAGTAATAGAAAAATGGAATTAACTCAAAGTTTTCAGTAGAGAACTATTTCTACAAATTATGGCACATTCATACAATGAAATCCTGTGCAGTTGTTAATGAGAATGAGGTATACATATATGAATGTACAAAGATCAGTCTTTAAGATGTATTAAGTGGAAAAAAGCAAGATGCTGAATGCTCTCATATATATTACTTATGTAAATATTTGGGTGGGATACCCAAGGCAATATTATCTCTTGGGACTGAGACAGAGGAACTGAAAGAGCAACCTAATTTTCTTCACATATCAATTTGTATTTTAAGTATTTATTTAACCAAAACTGTAAATTATTTTTTTCAATAAAAGCCTTCAACCATTCTTCATTTACCGAAAGATAAGTTTTTATAAATGTGACTTACATCACCATTTTCAAAATTTCTTGATCCTATGTTATTTTTCCCTCTTAGATGTACTGTTAAGAATAATTGTCTTAAAAGTCCTTAAATATCTTAAAAACTGATGAATGATACAAATATTATCTAAAACATATTTTACTTAATTTTTATTAAGAGTTGCCTATTATCCAGAGACTTGACCACTAAGCCCTAGGTAAATTTCCAGAAGATAATACTATAGTGATCAACGTAAATGACTGGTGAGAAATTCCAAATCCTTTGCAGTCAAGAGCTACACAAAAATTAATGGTTTGGTTGAGTGAGCACAGGACCAAAGCGATTAAATGTCATAATTTAAGAAAATTAATGTATTACTTTTTTAATAGCAATAAGCTACAACTATACAAACCAATCTTTAACAAATACGATTCACCTAGAGATCTTGTTAGCAGTCCCTAAATGTCATTTTACTATTTAAAAGATAAAACTTTCTGACTGGAATGGAGAAATCCTGATCATGTGAAATAAAAATTTTTACAGTGCTGCAACTTCTATCCTTATTGTGCATATTTTTTTGGCGACTGGCATATGGGGATCCGAACCCTTGATCTTGGTGTTATAGGCACCAAGCTCTAACCAAGTGAACTAACTAGCTGTTCCACTGTGAATTAATTAAATAAGAACTCTTTGATGTTTAGAAATTTGAAAATTCATTAAAAGAAAAAAATCCGCACAAATGTGGGCTTTACTTTACTATTTAAAACTTTACTATTTTAAAAAGGGGTACAACTCCTATTTTACTGTTTGTGGCTGTTAAAGAAAACATTTAAGAAAGCGACAAAGTAGAGCTATAAAAACATGAGCTTTGAAGTCACACTAGAATTCAAATCCTGGTTCTCTAACGATGCTATGCTGGGAAGGGTACTTCACATCTCTGAGCCTCATTTCCTCATGTATAAAATGAGGATAATATGGATTATATTTAGCACCTCATGAGGATGTTATATTAAAGGAAACAAAAATATACAAAGCATTTAGCACAATACATGACCCACAGTAAGAGTCAAATAAAGGCCAGCTCTCCCTACTATTATTATTGCTCTTCACTTATCTGGCATAGATGGGGAATAAAATGTTCTCTATAACTCTTTTGAATTTTCCAGATAGTGCTTCATTTATTAGACTAATGCTTATGTACTTGACAAATTTTAAGCACCATCACTTTGTATTTTAATCATTCCTGGGATAAATTCTTCTAAAATACCGACTATATTTCTTTGCTACCTTAGAAGGAGGCAATAGATATAAACTAGCCTTTATTGATGCCTGGGACTAATAATTGTTTACATTATCAAAATTTTATAGTCCTGGTATACTGAATACTGGTCATATTAAATTTGGAATATTGTATTCAATTCTGGGCATGGTGAAGAGACAATGTCAGGCTAGAACATGCATTAAGAGAACAGTTGCAAAACAAACTAATTCACCCACATACACACACACACACACACACACAAAAAAAACCGGGGGGGGGGGGGTGGGGAAGAAGATATAACAACTATACTTCCATGAAGTTGTTACAAGAAGCAAACGGAAAGGACATTCTTGGGGGGGAGGGGAGAGAGGGAGGAGGGAGGGAGGTGTCGGTGACGGGCCATAATAATCATATACAGTGTATATTGACAAAAAAAAAAAAAAAAAATTAAAAAAAAAAAAAAAAAAAAAAAAAAAAAAAATTAAAAAAAAAAAAAAAAAAAAAAAAAAAAAAAACTGACCGGTTTATAAAACTGCT